AAGAGCATAACCAAGAGTGTGCCAAAAGTCATGGCACACTCATCCCTTTAAGAATTTCATCATGGATTAGCCGGTCTTGGGCAGAAGCTTTAGAAAGGGAGCTGGAAAGGAGAAGAGGTGGTGGTGGTATATTTTGGGGCAGGTAGGCAGGGTGGTTGGTACATGGCTTTTGAACCAAATGACAAATAAGGAATATGTGGGGTGGACTCCCCGCCTTTTCAATCAGATCTAGCACAGCTTACAAAGTCATTCTAGATGAAATAGGTGATACAAGTCTGTATACAGTTGAATCAAAAATATGAACCCTCAGACATCCCTCTCATTTCACCAGGGGATCAGTCAATTTTATTAGGGGATACTCAGGAAAGACCAAAGAGAGACGTATGCTCCATTTAAGTCTTAAAGGGGAACTAATTCACAAGGTACACAAAGTGAGGAAAAAAATTCTAGATGGAAGAAAGATGGAGATGTAGAAAGGCTGTGACGGTGGGACTGAGGGTCTAGAAGCAGAGTAAGGTGGCTAAAAAGATGGCCAGGCTGAGACTGCAGGTTCCATATTAACCCCCAATAGGCCTCGAGTGGCAGCATACTGGGAGGAGGGGAGCTGAAGGAGGTGAAGCCAGTCACAGGACCCCCAGTGGTTGGGAGGAGTCTAGGGTCTCCAACATTTCCTCTATTGGGAGGGGTGGGGGGCACTTCTGGGAGAGGGAGCTACACAGGGATACCACACAGAACCTGTTACACTGGACGTTTGGCAGAAGTAGCACTCCGGAACCACGGGGACCTAGCAGCAACTCTGATGGCTTCTCCATTTCCTCTTCCTTGGGTGGCTGAGTCTTACTCAGATCCCTCCTCCCTGGCCCAAGACTGCAATTGCAGAGGAGACTTGCCTTGGGAGTCATTCCTTTTTGTTTGTTTTTATTAAGGCACCACTTGACAGCACACAAACAGCACACACAGAAACTACAAACCCACACACAGAATAAATTATGAAATTTGTATTTAAAAGTAGGCAATAAAAGAAGCTGTGCTACCAGGAGGGCCTACAGGAAGTCCAGCATCAGAGGGGTCATGAGGTATCTGCAGGCCACTAGAGTCTGATAAATCTGTGAGAAATTTAGTGCCCAACATTCCCTTCTGAGGCCCAAACTCCTTCATGAAAACCTGTGCACACCCACAGATGCATGCGTGGGCGCGGGAGCAGGGGATGGCCTGTAAACATCAACCAGTTCAGCATCAAGCAAAGTGGACCCAGCTGTGATCTCCCTGTGGCTTTGGTGGTGGATGAGCTCCTGGCACTTGTCCTTTACCAATTCTCTGAGTCCCTCGGAGGTGCAGGTGTGCCCTGCAGCAGGGAGGAAGTGGAGGCCTGCTTCCGGAGGGAGGGAGAGACCCAGTTTTGTTACCCTGGACTGTGGGGTGAGCCCATCTCAGCTTCTCACACCACCCTTGCTTGATTGTCTGCCTGACGAGCCTCACCTGCCACTCCCAGAAGACTGAGTGAAGGACGCGTCCCTAGGGAAATCCACCAACATGGAGTCTCAGGAGCTGTGTGTCAGTTCTCCAGCAGCGTGATACTGGGGAAATCATCTCATTTATCTAAGCCTCATAGTCCCCATTTGTAAAAATAAGAGTGTCTACTTCACGGGATGATCGTAGGAATTACTGAAATTTGAGCTAGACGCAAGTGAAATTTTCACAACCTGTTTTCTTTCTAGCCTTCTTGTCATCCATTTCTCTCTCTCTCCATCCCCATTTGTTTCCAGGTTTATATATCTTTGGTGGTCATGTAAACCCAATAAGACTAAAGTACCTCTCGACCAGCAGGGCCTCCCTATCCCAACAGAAATTGCATGTGCTTCCCAGCACATCACTGCAGCACTGGGAGAGTCAGGGGGTGGGCTTCAGGATCAGAAGACACTCCTGGTCTCTGGTACTACTTTAGTCCAGGAAAGAGAACTGGGTCACCTGTGGGCACATGGAGACCTGACTGTCTTGGGGATGATGGTGAGTGAGATGCCATTGATGGTGGATGGAAAGGAAAACGAACAGTAGGGCTAGGTGGGGCTCTGAGGTGCATCTGATTAGAAGCTGGAATCCACGGGTGGTGATGTTTACAACCTTCAGTAGAAAGAAACCCACCCTCCAGGTTTGAAAGGACCAAGGATGTAGAAGATTCATCTGTTTTTTGTTTGTTTGTTTTGTTGTTTGTTTGTTGATACTGGGGATTGAACCCAGGGATGCTCCACGATCAAGCCATATCCCTTTTTATTTTTATTTTGAGACAGGATCTTACTAAGTTGCTGAAGTCTTCACTAAGTTGCCCAGGCTGGGCCTGAACTCGCAATCCTCCTGCCTTAGCCTTCTAAATAGCTGGGATGCCTGGCATAGGAGATTTATTCTCCTAGAAGATGTGTTCATCAAAAGGTCAGTTGATGGGTCACAGTCTACAACTTAAATTTTGCAGAAATCTCTCCATTTTCCTGTCCATCCGGTCATTCATCTGGTATATTAGGAATTTTGTAGAATGCAGGCTGACCCGGACAGAAAACTCTGTGTGCTCATTTAGAACTTTCTATTCAAGGAGTTGTTATCTTCTAGTCACTCAACTGGAGTCATTGACAGTCATGCTGTGAGGTAGTAGCAAGACAGGTAATATCTCTTTGTATGATCAAGAAGTTCTTAAGGTAACAGAGAGCACAGCTCAAACACAGAGCTGCTCTGGTCTGTTCCCCAAACCAGGATCTGGCTTTCCTCCTGTAGGCTCCAGCTGGTCTGACCTTTATATCCAGACCAATCCCTGCTGATGTTTATACCAGTGTGGGTTTCAAGTCATCTTTGAAGTTCACAATGGGCTTGGAGCGGGCCCACAGTTTTTCCCAGGAGACCAGCCCCCCAGCAGGTTCAGGATCAGTGTCTGATGTGCCACTGTCACTGGAGTCAGAAGAGCTCTGGAAACAGATCTCACAGTAGGGTCGGTGACAGCGGCAGAAGAACTCATCTGAGCTGCTGGACTCAGTGTCAAGGTAGTTGCACTGAGAAGACAGGAAGGGACAGCCAGGGTAACCTGGGGGCTGAAGCTGCTGCTGCTCAGTCAGGTCTGGTGAGCGGGGAAGGCATGGGGCAGTGGGACTCTGTGCCTGGGAAGAGGCAGAAGGCTGGTGAGGAAAGGCTGCTTGGCTCTCTTCAGCCCCCTGGGGCTCTGTCCGGTGTTTGCTGCCCTCCAGGGGCCCTGGCCTCCCTTGAGGATCTGGGAGTAGTAAAGGCTTCCTGGAAGAAAGCCTTAGTACCTTAGAATCAGCAGTTTGGAGGTACAGCCTGCGGTTGTCCCCACTCTGCACATTCAGCCCACTGTGTGCCCCATAAACAGTCCTGTCTGCCTGATGCCACACATAGGAGGGTACAGAGCCAGAAAAGTGTGAGCGGGCCCGCTGAGCTGCCCGCCTCCTCCTCACTACATATGGGCTGAAGCCCAGCTCCCTGGAAAGGGGCATCTTTTGGGGACTGTGGGCAGCACTGCTTTTCCAGAGCTGCCGAGGACGAGATGGGGAGGCAGAGAGGGGGGCCTCAGAGCCCAGGTCCAGCTCTTGTAAGACTTCCTGAAGCTTTTCCCTGACTGCTGAACTGACCCTAGGTACTCTCTCTGGGGAAGCCTCTGAGCCCTGCCTTTGTCTCTGGAGACCAGAGGCCCCTCCACTTAGTACGACACTCTGGCTGGGGGCCTCAGGTCCCTGGTCTTCTCTTTCTGGACTTTGTCTTTGCTCAGCCTGTGGCTTCTGGCTACAACCCAAGTCTGGATGATCAGAAAAGTCTTTCAAGTCAGGCATTTTCTGGCCTGGGGAGGAGCTGGTGTCCCTTGCAGGTGTCCTGAGGCTCTGCATGTGTGGGGAGGGCGCTGAGGTGCACTGGGAGTCTTGGGTAGCTTTGCCCACATCATCCTGAGAGGCAGAGGGGCATTCTGAAGGTCCTTGAGCTATCAGGTCATGAGCAGAGGCTGCAGCTGGGGCATCCTGGCCCTGGAAAGAGGTGGGTGGGACAGCCCACTCTGGGGTGTCATAGGTGCACTCAGCAGACATCAGCCGCACCAGCTTCTCTTTGGCATTGTTTACTTGTTCCTGCAGGCTTTCAATCACAGCATTTTTCTGTAAAATAAAAGCAAATCATCAACCAAAGATGATGCTACAGGTTCTACACTGCTTCCTATGATGGAAAAAGTGGGGCATCCGAAGACCTTGGTTTAAATCCCAGGTTTTCCAATGTACTGGTTCCAAGAAACTGCCTCCAACAGGGGAAATGAATCAAAGCGAGCAAAGTGCCTAGCACAATAACTGACAGAAGGTGTTCAATCAAGGCTGCTGTGATTTATTGTTGCTATGATCTTCATCTCCCCTTCCATCCCCCAGGCTATGGCACTGTGAGGAGAGAGGAGCCCCATCTGTCTGTTGCTGGCTGCTGCAGCATCTTCTCACTCTTTCCCAGAACCAAGAGGCTCAGCTTACTCTGCAGGACACTGGTCTCAAGGGGTTTGGGATGGTCTCACTCTGGATTTCTCACAATTTTGTCAACCACAGATGAATCTGAAACACGTCTCCTGGGGAGGTACAAATAGGGAAATAAGTAGTTTGCCTCTTGCTAAGCAGCTTGGAAAATGGGAATAACAGGGAGAAGAGAGGAGATTTCTGAGCAAATCTGACTGGACCAGGAGGGGCTGATGAGAAGAATCTCGGGTTTGTGTCATGACCACCTTCCCAGGCTGGACCTCTGGGGGTAAGAGGCCAAAGCTACCATGTGGCAAGGTCAACCATCAATATCTCCTAAAGGAGTATGTGCATCACAATTATTGCAGAAGTTTTAAACAAATAAATAAACAACAACAAAAAAAAAGATTATTGGGCCTAAGTCTCTGGTAGCTCTATTCAGTAACTATAGAATGAAGGGCAGAAGATGAATGAAATTGGGGAAAGGAAGTTCTGCAACTGAGCTGCCTGCCTGTTGCGTGAATGGTAGTGGATAAACAGGCTATGCCCAGGAGTGCTGGCAGGTGACAGCTGCAGAGGTGTACCCATTCTGTCTGTAAATTTGTGGGGCAGGAAGGAGGAGGAGGATCAGCAGTGGGTGTACCGGGTGTGACTGCACTCTGGACATCTGCCTGTGGGGCAACAGGGGATTGTCTTTCCATCTTTGGAAAATTCTGATGCTCCAAGGCAGAGAAGTAGGGATGAGATCCTAACGAATGGTCTTAGGGCAGATGATACAGGGTCAAGGGTTTGGGGAAGGCAGTAACAGAAGTGCTGTGTTCTAGAAAGGGCTTGTCTGAAGGCCCAAATGCTGCCTCTTTGTTGCTGTCTCTTTAGAGGCTAAAGCTGAGCATTTGGACATCCATTTATCAGGTGCTAGAAATAAAGGGTATTCCCTTTTTTTAGGATAACTAACAAGTTTCTCATGGACCCAGCCTGTGGTCATTTCTTGAATTTACATGAAAGAGTTGCTTAGAAATGATCTTTTCAGAGTAGTAACTGAAATAAAATAGACAAATAATCTGGCAGCACCCCCCGCCAGGCAGACCCACTGCTACCCCCGTGCGTAAACAGGAAAGAGGTTTTTTTGACTTTTTTTTACACTCCCAGTTTCACTCTGGTTTAGTCTACTTCGTTACCATCAGGAGAGAAGCCAGGCCCAGTGACTGACTGGTGAATCAGGGGGAAGGGACTTCAGCTGAGCACCTGCCTGACAGTTCTCTCTCCCTCCAGGCAGCTGGGAAGGTCTGGGCGTAGCTGGGTGAGTGCCGATGACTCAAGGCTCAGCAAGAGCAGAGCAAATGAGTAACAGGAGAACGTTCAGGTTCTTCCTGATGTCTGGGATGTGCCAGATCTCCCTGAGGATCTCCTGGGAGGCTGGGATGGCTGCACAGGAGACGCCAACCCTCTCCCTCCTCCACCAACCGCTCCTCCTGAAGCTCACCCTGTACATTGTCCTGCTGTCACCTGCCAGCACTCCTGGTCTTCAGGAGGCCTTCACTGCCTCACGGAGTCAGGAAAAAGTCATCGGTTGATGACCATCACTCCAGCGGGTGAAAGCTGAGCACTGCCCTTTTGTGCCTTATGCGAAAACTTCTCCGAGTGTAGGAAAATAGTTTAAACCTTGAGTCGGGAAGAATACTCTCCTCCCAGTTAAGCAAACATCTGAAGCTGGCTGGCGACAGATTTAGAAACATCAGGGTAAACAGTATATTTCCCTTCTTCCAGAAAAGGAAATGGGACTCTTTTTCCACCATGGCTGCATACTAATTAGAGGCTATCGTGACGCCAAAATCTGACCTCCAGTGACAACTGTTTTTAAATGAGTGTATTAATTATTACTTTTGGTGCACTGAGGGAGCAAAAGGCCAACAGGTGTTTTCTCATAGGGTGAAGGTCATAAGGAGCAATAGAATCAACCTCTCATATCTCTGGGTCTAGGAAGAAAAAGGTTAGGCAGGTATCCTCTGTGGCAGAGTATGGAGGGGAGGCTCCTCAGCCTCTGGGAAGGTTCTCTCTGCTGCCTTCACATAGGCTGGGTGGTCAGTGACAGATGTTAACCCTAACAGCCAGGGGATCCCTGGCCATTGGAACAAGAGGATGCAGGAAGGAGAAGATGGACTGCCTAGATCATGGGAAAGAACGAGAAAGGCACGAGGGCTGCACAGAAAGCTGTGTAAGGAGAAAACTGCCAACTGGAAGGCTGGAGTCAGGGCTTGTGCCCACAGTGTACTTCCAGAGGTATTTGTGCTTATTCATCATGCACTGCTAGCTTCCGGGAGGCCCACATGAGACCCTCTCTCTCTCACCTGCCACAGGCCCAAGGCAGACTGCTGGTGCTCAGGCCTGTTCTTGGAAAGACATAGCAGGTGCTGGGGAGGCCAGCTTTTTACTGCCTATGCTTTTGCGTCCATTCCAGCCCTTCCTCCACGGACTCAAGGCAACCTTTTGGAAGAGCAGATTCAGCCACTGCATGGGAAATGGCAGCACGACAGAGGTACAAAAGGCACATCACAAATTACCATAAGGCTAAAGAGTCAGTCCATGTGGCCATCCCAGCATTAGCTGATCATAAATGAAAACTATCCAGATTGTTCTAGCCAAGTTTCTGGCCTTCTGTTTAGCCGGAGGGGGGAAAAATGCTTCTTTGAAGCATTCACAGAGCATCAAAGGCAATGTCACTCCCTTTCCAGGTGGGGGAAGTCTGGCTTTGAAATAATGTCCTGAGTGTTTAATAAATAGTAAGTAAATGGAAAAGTGTTACTGTGATGGACAGAAAAGGCCCAGGGTATGATGTGGGAGACCAGAGGGGCAGGCTCCGTGGGTGCCTGGGCAGGTTCAGCCCTCCTTCTCTGGGGCTTCTTAGGTCCCCAACATACCATCCTCTCACCAGGACTGTGAATAACAAGGGACAGTCCTATTACAAAAAGTACAGTTTGCCAAATAGCACCTATCCAGGTATAATCTATACAGAAAAAAATATGGAATGTAATTTAGTTAGTGTCAAAATACTGACTAATTCCCCTGGGCCCCGTGCCTTCTTCCTGAGGAATGCAGTCCTCAAGCTTTTCCACGTGCTTGCCTCAAGCCCACACTGTGTTTGTCTGGGAGAGGGGCCAACTCTGGCTCAAGAATAGAAGAAAGAAGGGCTGGGGCTGTCCAACCCCCCTTGGTGCTGTAGTGACATTCAGAGGCCCTTGTTTCAGTGCCCTTTCATATCTGTAGACAGGTCGGGCTTTCTAGAGTCACGGGATGACTGAGTTCTCCCATTAGTACCTGGCAGGGACAGTAAGGGCCCTGTGGGATCTTGGCTATGAGGGTAATAGTCTATATAAAGAAAGAATGTATCACACTGATGCTGAGGTCCACTATAACTTGGGGCCTTTACAATGCTGTTCCCTCTCCGTGGAATGCTTTTCCTGTACTCTTTGCCTGGTCAGTTTGTACTTCTGTTCACTTTCAGTGATAGGTCTCTTTGTCCCCACCACCCATTATTCTGACTTACTACCCCGATTTTTCCTTCATAATTCTTACCACAGTTCATGTCTACACGTTCATTTAATCAATATCCATTTCCTCTACTAGACTGTAAGCTCCATGAGGGTAGGAACTGTGTTTGTTTTGTTCTTCAGAGCTTAGCACAATGCCCGACACATAAAAATGACTAAGTATACACCTGTTCATTGCCTGTACAAAGTCACTGGGACAATGTAGAGGTTTTGCTTGCTGTTTGGGAAAGTGGGGGAACGTTGGCCATGAAAGCACACGGGGCCCACCAGTGCATGACTGGAGTTCTTTACAGGAATCTGCCAGGCAGGGTGCAGCTTACTTCTGTGAGGAGCCTCTCCATGGAGCTCTTCTCTCCTCTCAGGTGGCAGTTCTGTTCGTCACCAAACTGGGTATGCAAGCTTTTGCTGGGAGTACTGAAATATTTGGCCATGTGTCTGATTGTTTGGTTTTCCCCTTCAAATGCCTTCCATTGCTTCAGCTGTTTGAAAAAAAAGAACACATGTTATTTATTTAATTACACACCCAGAGACACATTCCCTCACTTCTCAGAAACACCAAGGAATGACACTGTCACAGATACACTTATGCACAGACCATTCTCTCCTCAAAATGTCCTTTGCTCTGGAGGGCTTGTAGACAGGAGTGATAGAAAGTATAATGTTAAACCTATAATAACAGTTTAAAAATGCCCAAGGAAGAAGATGACAAGGAATGAATAACTTTAGCTTTTCTATTGATTGCCAAACTGATCAAAGAGAACCAGAATTGATGTATACTCCTAGAACCATATTTTAAAGCCAGAGTTTAGGAGGTTAAGCTTTCTAAACAGTGTATGTTTCAAATGAAACTGTTTCTAGTTGTGTGTAGCTGCTGTTCATCAGTTTTTATTTGCTGAGTAATGATGTGCTTCCTGATGTTGGGAACCCAGTTCTTGTGAGTGGTCTTCTAATCCTAATAAATGAGCAAGGCTCCAATAGATAGGAACCCACAGAAGTCAACAAAAATGATGGACATTAGGTCTGACACATGGCTCTAATCTTTCCCTTGACAAATGAGGAAAGATTCCAGTAGGAGTGACTTGTCTAAGCTCACACAGGAAGTCAGTGGCACACCCACAGCTGTAACCAGGTTAATAAGCCACACTGCTTATCCCTCCACAAGTGATGAAGAGAAGACTGTTAGCTGTGAGGTCCTAGGGGAAATTCTTTGGCAGAGACTGACCTTAAAGAACAATCTGTAGAAGCATGGGCTGGTTCCCTTTAATAGGGATGGAGCTGGTGCACATTCACAAATAGGGGTTTGCTCTGGAGCTTCTGGGACATGTGCCTACCTGTGAAAGCCCATAATGTGGATTGATGGGGCACAGTAGTGGAGGCTTTTCTCTTTCCTTAAGGAATCTCCAAAACTAAGTGTCCTAGTGATGGACATTGAGGACTCTGGCATATTATTTTGAGGAATGCTGCTGAAGTGTCTATGGACAGCCTCAAAAGGAGACCTTGGATTTCCTTGGTCACTCAACAAACATTTACTAAACTCTTGAATGTGGAGCCTAACCCAAATTCCATAAATTTCAGATAGGATCCTGGATTTCACTCCTAATTTCAGTACCACTTCCTCACCCAAGTCCTCTTGGGTCCTGTGTTGACTCAGCACATGTCTTCATGGTATCAGGAGTCTGTGTGGCCTGGGACAGGCCAAGAACCTCCCTCTCGGAGCCCTTCCCAAAGGGCCAAGTGGGGGGTTCACTGCTGCACTCAGCAGCTACTGGAGCCCATGTCCCTCTTTGGTCCTATGTGGATGGAGCTGACCTCCTAAAGTCATTCTCTAGACAATGCCCTGGCAGTGCCACAGGCTGTCTGTTCCTCTCAGCATCCCCCTTTCCTTGGTAGCACAGCTCTTCCCTTTGCCCCCAGCACTCTGAGTCTGAGCCCTTTCTGCCGGGCTGCCAAAATAGGTAAATATGGGCATCAGGGCTCTTCTGGGCTTTCGGGTGGTGTCTCCCTAAGTGAAATGGGTGCAGCTAAGCTTAATTCCTCATTTGTGAAGGTCCTGGCACTTAAAACTTGACCCTTCAGGGTTTCTGGATTATAGCCATAAATAATTCTCAGGTTGTAAAGCGCTTCCTTCAGGACAGGCACATTCTTGTTTTCTCAGCCTCTAGGCTATGTGGGTGTGGGAGCTGAGTAACGGCCCCTCAAAGATGCTCATTTGTCTCTGAATCCATGGAACCTGTGCATATGTTGCCTTACATGGCAAAATGAATTTTGTAAATGTGATTAAGGATTTGGGGATAGGGAGATTATCCTGGATTATCCAGGTTGGTTCAATGTAATCACAGGAGTCCTTTTAAGAGGGAGGCAGAGGGATTAGAGTTGGAGAAAGAGATGGAAACAGGGAGATGGGGTGGACAGAGAGAGAGAGATCTGAAGATGCCACACTGTTGGCTCAGGAAGTAGAAGAAGGGACTTGAGCCAAAGAATGTGTGTGGCCCTCAGAAGCTGGAAAAGACAAGGAAACAGATCATCCCTAAGAGTCTCTAGAAGGAGTGAGACCTACTGACACCTTGATTTTAGCTAAATAAGATCCACTTCAGATTTCTGACCTCCAGAACTGTACGATAATATATTTGTGTTGTTTTAAGCTGCTAAGCCTGTGGTAATTTGTTGCAGCCTTAACAGGAAACTACTATGGGGGTGGGGTGTGTGTTAAATGTCTAGTCTCCAGCAGGTTACTGCACAGCTTTCAGAAGCTCACCAAATGCACCTCTCTCACTTCCTGCCACTCTCCTATTGTTACCATTTGTGCTGCAAAACCAGCGAAGACTTAGGGTATTCCAAACATACATACATTACATCCTCTGACTCACACCTCGGATCAGTGTTATCCCATCTGAAAGGTCACCTACTGTCCCTCACCCATCTGCTCAGAGAACTCTTACTGTTCCTTCAAGACTGACTGCAAACACCTCATTTGCTGAGATGTCATCACCGAGTTCTCCTTCCCCAGCTCTGTGTAAAGCTTTCCTCAAGATTTTAATTCCTTTCGTGTTTGCTCCCCATTACCTTGGAGGTGGGGCCATGCATTTCACGCAGGTTTCCAGAAGCTAAGAAATGGGTTGGATGGATACAAGAATAAGAGAAAGAAGCTTCCCTTTAAGAAGCTCTCCAGTCTAACAGGAGTGCTGGGACACAGACATAACCATAAGGCAGAGTAGAAAGTCCTAAATATGCTCACGGAGGAGCAGGTGAAACGCTTTGGGGGTTAGAGGAGAACACAGTGTCCTGTCTCTGACCGACTGCCTCACACAGGAAATGGAGGGTGGGGGATGGTTCACGTTCGGGTCACAAAAGCAAAGGTTGGCTGATTGCTGGTGATGACCTCAGTGCTTGGCACAAACACTTAGGCATTTCCTGAGTGCCCTTGTAGAAGGCTGCTGGGTCCCCTCGCTTCCTTGTCATCTATTTCACCGGCTCTCTAACGCCGCCTAGAGGCCACTGGGGGCATCTGTGCCTTCGCTTTCACAAGCCACACCCATCCCAGCGGAGCCTGGAGGCTGACAGCCAGGAGGACTCACCGCACTGCGGAGCGGACCGCCACCCCGCCCTCGGTAGAGCTCCCCTCGCACACTTTTCCCAGTTTACTCAGCTGTCCTACTGTCCTGGGGAAACACAGTCCAAATCTCAGAGAGGGAGTCATTTTTCTGCCAAAGGACAGGGAGGGAAATCAGTTTGGGGACAGTCATTTTTACATTTCGAAAAAGAATGTATCTCCTAAACCTCAAATACGACAGACTCAAATAAAAATATTTTTTTAGTCTCACATCATGGTCAGCTCAAGAGAAGAACGTGAGAAAGAAAACAGAAGAGAGATACAGAGAAAAGAAGCTCAAGCCAGCTAGGAGGAAAGGGGTTAGTGAGGCAGAAGGAAAGAGAAAGGCCACTGCCGTCCGTCCATCCACACAGTTCTTGTGCCCCATGATCCCAGCTCACTCCCACTTCAACAAACCAAGGGCTCGTTGCTTAATTAACACGTGGAAGTCAGACGTCTGCTGTTTGTCATCCTGCTTTACCGTGTTCACGGTAGGGGGAGTGTACCTGGAGTCACTACTGTCCTAGGTGCTGAGGATTCAACCAAGAGATCAGGAAGGTTTTCCTTTGATAGTTCCTGGATAATTACTTCTGCTCCCAAATTATTTTGTTCTCTTTCAAAGATTTCCATTACCTCTACATTGTATCCTCAGACCTGATCATTATATTTTCTTATCTGGTCTCTCACTTTTATCTGTCTTCTTGTTTTCTGTTTCCCTCATTTACTAATTCAATATTTTGCACTGTCCAATTGCTTATTCAGTGCTTTGGTTGGGATTTAAAATTTTAACACCATATTTTCATCCCTATTTAATAATTCATTACTTAAGACTATGTTCTTTGTATGATGGTTTGCTTTTGTTGAAGATGGGCATATCCTTTGAATCCTATTGATGAGAGAAATAATATAGCTTCTAAAAACTTTAGTTCTACTTCAGAGAAAGGCAGCCTTTACGAATCTTCAGATTTTGTGATTCTCTTTTTTTAAAAAAATATTTTTTAAGTTGTAGACAGACACAATACCTCTATTTTATTTATTTATTTTTAATGTGGTGCTGAGGATTGAACGCAGTGCCTCACACATGCTAGGCAAATATTCTACCAACTGAGCTACAACCCCATCCCTTTTTGTGGTTCTCTTTTTGTGAATTGCAGGTTTCCTTCATAGGTCCTTCCCCTTGAATTTCTTGTGTTACTTGGAAAGAACTATATTTTTCCAGTAAAATAAATATATTTTCCTGGTCTTTCCCTAATGTTTACAATACAGCTGCCATGGCTTCAGGTATCACATATATTCAAAACAGGAAGAAGAAAAAAGGGGTATGTTAACCATGCTTATTGCTTTTATTTTTTTCTTTTTTTAGGAAAGCAAAAGCTTTCTCAGAAGTCTCCTAGAAAGCCTCTAGTGTTCCAAACAGTATCAGAGAAATACCTCTGCCTATCTAGGAGCCTAGCAAACAAATATTTAGCTCTTCCAGCCTAAGAAGTGGAGATAAGCAAGGAAGAAAGGTGTTGGCAAAGAGGTTACCAATCAATAAAGTTGGCCACAGGGCCCAAGGGGAGGCTTCCAAAAAGGCCCCTCGTTGTTGCCTTTACCCACGTTCCAGGGAGGAACAGTCTTTGCTTTTCAGAGCCCATTTCCGCTACATCCTGGACAATTAAGTGTCTCTCAATGGTGTCTTCAATCCAGTTCTTACAACATGAAGATTCAGCAAAAATTCCTCCAATTTCTGACACAGATGTAACACCCATCCTTGGATTCTCATACCGCTGCCCCTGTTGATTTTTTCTTATTTGTTGATTATGTCGAATATTTTAATGAATTTGTGAACAGTAACTGGCTCATGCTTGTGTCATGTCATCATGCCCCAAAGTATACTCTTTTCTTAGATAAATACACTGAAATCTGCCATTAGCCGATGCTGCAATGATGGGTTAGCTCTCTCATGAGGAAGTAGTTCAGTCACCTGGAAGCCGCAGTGGAACCAGATGGGGACTTGAGAGAAGAGAGGGATGGGGGAGGCCTCAGGAAAAGGAAAGGAGGACCAGGAGGGAAATACTGCTGCTGCGTTTGTGAGCTTGGATAGATGTGTTTGTGCTGCTGCGTTTGTGAGCTTGGATAGGGGTTGCTAGTGCACTGTGGCAACAATTACCATCACTTTCCTTTCTAGCCTCTGTGTGCCTTCTCCTGTCCTCTGACTCCCTTTCTTCTTCTTTGCTGTCTGAATAATTCTGCTTCTTAATCCCTATAATATAAATCATATTTTGATTTTTCCCTGTTGTAAAACAAAGAGGAATATTCTAGATTTTCCTCTAATAAAAAGAAAGGAAAAGCATTTTAAATCACAAAGTTCCAAATCAAATTTTCCCAGTGAATCTGTACTCTCAAGTAGAAAGAAAGAATTTTTTTCTCCCTCCAGAACTATAAAAAAAAAAAACACACACAAAAACAACAACAACAAAAAAACTAATGTTATCAAGATGAAGGGGGAATTAGGAATGAGTGAATCAGAGTGGGTGTAAGAGCAGGAACCAGGCAACCACCAAGGAACAGACCATGTCATTGCTCAGTCCCCTCTGGCCTGCCCTTCTAGCTGACCGGAAGCACAGCTGTCCTCCCCCAGGTCAGTAAGGAAGGACAGAGGGGGCCCTTGCCTTCTTTGTGACTCTCCAACAAATGGCATGGAAAGGTATCAGCAGAAAACAAAATAAACAATCTGTCATGCCCAGAGAAAACTCTGAGTGACTAAGAGAACAGGCCCTGCAAAGTCCTCCCTAGAGCATACCTGAGGAATGAAGATGAAGCAGTTGATTGTGGTTGTGCAAACAAAGATGCCTCCAGATGTGAGTCCAAAGACGAGGTTGGGCCAGGAGTGCAAGTATCTGGTGACTACAAAGAGCAGCCCTGCAGCCAGTACCAGGAGGTTGACCCCAACCATGATTGTTAGGGACTGATTCACAGGAGGAGAGCTGACGTGGTCTGTCAGGCCAGCCAGGTAGGCACCATACAGCAAGAACAGTCCCTGGAGGAGGAGAGGGAAACCAGAGACACAGAGAAGTGGAATGACATGTTAAAGAGCAGTAGGGTTGAGATGTCCCCATTTAAAACTGGGTAAATAATAGCTACCTCAAAGGGTTGATATGATAATTTGTTAAGAAAACACATAGGAAAAGCTTGTGGCATCCTTTCTACTCAGTAGGTGCTTAATAAATGTTATTTTCCTCTCTTTTACTGAGAATTAGTTTATCAGAGACCAGCAAGTCAGCCATTAGACAAGAATCTTCTGGGATAAGGCAAAGGACAGGCTTATGTGGGTGGATTGGGGCGCTGCAGAAGGGGTGATGGGCACTAGAAGGGCTGCTGGTGGTGAGGGCTACTGCATCCATTGTGTTGGTTTTGCACTGCATGAAGCTGAGGGGACACGTGGAAGCTGAAATCGACCAGTGGTTTGCTTCTCAAGTCCTGTGCCACAGCAGGGCACTGCCCAGAGGGAGGGGCTTTTTTTCTTCTTCTAATTTTCCAAAAGACACCATCTGCTTGCCAAGCTCTGCACCTGCAAGATTGCATCTGCCTAGAAGAGATGGCGTTTTCTAACTTACACAAAAGATCTCTATAGGCTAGCGGTGGCTGTGTGCCAGGGGGGTTTATGGGAGATGAAGGATGGAAAGAGAAGAACAAAGGCGGGCTGGGACTTAGGCAGGACTATGGGGCAGGAACAGGCAACAGATGCTCCCCCTATACTTTTTGCTGCTTTGTGACATTCCCTGTCTCCACCACAAGGAACTATTTTTTTCCTCTTTCCGTGTATATGAACCTGCTTTCAGAGTGCTCACTTGTACTAAAGACAAAATAACTCACAGCACCTTAAACTGCTGCTTTTCCCAGAAGGAACTTTATATATACAGAAATCAAAGCTTCAATCCATAATCCACAGCACATAGATTCAACATATGCTTGCCTTTCTGACTATATATAAAGTATGACACTACGTATTTGGTGGAAATTAGTGCTCTACAGAAAAGGTCATGGTCCTAGCTTTCAGAGCAATCAGTATGGTAGAGACATTTAAAGGAAGCATCAAGATATCCCTGTTTTTAACACAGATGTGAGGATGCCATAGGGGACAAGGTGGGGCTGGGAACATGGGGAGTCAAAAGGAGAAGAATGATAGTAAGGTTAGGTATCTGCAGGACACTCCCGTGACCCAGAAATCAATCATCTAGGCAACCCCACCTGCAGGGACAGCCCTATGATAATTTCTGGAGCATTGGCTATGCCAGGAGGGACAGGATCAGCATGGCAGAGAAGCCTTTGGAGCTCTCATGCCCAGCATGCCAAATGGGGCTGAAGGCTAAACGTGGCCACCCTGAGCTCTTCAATGACTAGGAGACACAAAAGTTAGGGGACCAGTGGGGCCTGGCTTTTGGTTTACTGATACCAGTTAGGTGATACCTGTCAGCATTGGGTATCATTAGTAAACTTATCAGAGGTGAATGAAATTAATTCTGTGATGTGAAATATTCAAATACAGCCAGGCATGGTGGGACACACCAGTAATCCCATCAACTGGGGAGGCTGAGGCAGGAGGATCGCATATTCCAGGCAGCCTTGGCAATTTGACGAGACCCTGTCTCAAAACAGAAAATGAATGCTTATGTAGCATGTGCAAAAGCCCTGAGTTCAAGCCCCATTACCAAAAAAGAAAAAAAAATAGGAATAAATGTTCAAATATATATTTCTTTTTAAAATTTATTTTTATTTTTAAATTATTTTTTCAAATATATATTTTTAATAAAACATTTAATTTGGTTAAAATTCTTGCTAAAAGGGAATTAGGCATGAATAAAGCATCTATACATCCATGCTTCCTGTTGAGTGTGTCAGAACTGATCCTTTAAGTCATTTGCCTTCACTGCTAAGGATGGAGTAGGGGTAGCTGACAGGCTCAGATGGGGGATCCTGGAACCTAATGTGGGGATTGGCTCCTCACTGACTGGCCTCTGGGGGTCTGGCTCAGTCAGTTTCCTGATGCTCAGCACTCTTTCCTCCTTTCCTTCTTTGTCCTACAGAACAATAGCACAGTGAAATTAAGTGGAAATGAGAACATATAAAGGGCAATGGAGGAAAAAAAAGTCAAGGTGGGTCACATAGTGTTGCTATGGGAAAGTGCTGGGTTTCCCTGCTGGAGAGCGTAGACTCTGTTACAGGGGCTTGAAGAAGTAGTAGAGGGCCTGTGTTTCTCAGAACTGTTGGTGAACAGTGGAAGAACAAAAACAATAATATCATCTTCTTTTATCAAATATTTCGATCAGAGTAGTATATACACATAGTTAAAAAGCAACATTTCCCTGCCTCAGTCCACCATGCCAAGGTCTGTTCCTAGTAGTAGAATGGGTCAAGTTCACCTTTAAAAGCCACCTATTGCTATAAAAATTCTCCCTCCAGCCTCCCAGGCCTCCTTGCCTGGATAGTTAATAGCAGGCTCATGTCCGGTAAGGCTGCCCAGTTCACTGAAGCAGGTCTGCCATTGGCCCTCAAAACTGAAAAGCAACTAAGGGTCTAATCTGTTCTGAGGACTGTCCTTAACTGCCCTGTACAGGTTTCCTGTACCCTCTGGAAAGAGTTTCCAACATTTGCTCATCTAACAGAGACACATGAGTCTCAGAATGGGAGATTGGGGCAGTATGGGAGATACTCTGAGGCAGCTAGATCCCTCAAGGGACACTGTGGATGCTGCTGTCTTAGAGCCACACCTGTACCCAACTAGAGCAAGAAAGTCAGGTGGGTGAAAGGCAGTGGGAGATCAAGACACAGTCGTGAAGAAAGACACAAGACACACAGTAGAAGCCATTAGGAGAGCAAACTAAGCTGAGTGGAATGTCTCGTATTTTTCTTACAGGGGAGCTATGGAAAAAATGGGTCTTGTCCAATTAACTTAAAAACCAGACCACTAAATGAGAGAAACAATAGATAAATTCCAGATGATGTAGAGAAGACTGAATGAGAAAATCCAAAGAGTTAAAAAAGTGACCCCTGAAAAAATAGAGAAATAAAAGGCTCATGGCTTTGAGATGTTTGCACCAACAGAGATCTCCTCTGAGTTCAAACTCTCTATAGACATCATTAGTTAATGGACCTCATTAATCCCTGTAATCCCCTCTTCATATCCATTTTGTTGGTGACAGACTTTCATTGAGACATAGTTACCTACCTTGCATCCCAAAACGAGAGCAATCCAGACATCAGAGTACCGTGAAGCACAGAAGTGTGTGTTGGTGAAAGAGCAGGACACATCTCTCCCTGTCACCTAGGAGGGACACAGGGTCAGGACTGAGGGTACTCACAATTACCAGCATCACACAGCAGATCTTTGTGAACATCCTAGAGAATGGACTCCCCCAGAGCACATAACCCCCCCTCAGTAAGTAAATTGGAAAAATGTAGGTGATTCCATTAGAACCTAAATGAGAGTGACTATGAGGTGGAAGGAAAGATGATAAAGTTGGGTGGATACTAGGTGCTTGGTGGTAGCAGGGTTTACCTTTCAATCATATGCTTTGCTACCCAATTATTTAATATGCTGCCTCATTGATATTACAGATTATTTCACATCATGGACCTTTACTTGCAAATGTTGGATTCTTACGTTAGATCTTGCAATGTCATGATTCTGCTGTACTTCTCAGCCTCTTGTGAGGCTGGAGGAAAAGAGACTTAGAGTGGTTAAATAACTTCCCCAAAGTCACATGGCTGATGAGCTTGGTAGAACTGGGATTTGAACCAGGGAAACTCCAAAGACTACCTCCAAAACCACCACGTCCTCTCAACAGTTAGGGGAAGGCACCTACCCCTTAGCTGAAAGTTCTCATTATGGACAATGTGGAAGCAGAGATAACTGCCAGTGTGTTGACATCTCACAGATGCCAGGAGAAGGCATCAGGGGCAGGAGGCACGGTGGAAGTGACACTGAAGCCTATGGAAAAGGGGCAGGGCACTCATGGTAGCCCCAACCCTACACTCTCCTTCCTCTACTTGTTTCAACTATGGCCACACAATGAATGCTCCTGGGAAAATGACCCCTGTGACCACAGAGGCCAGCCCAGTCAGGAATTAGAATCCCCGGAGTTTGGGTTCCTCACCGTCATGCTGACACTGAGGATCTGGAGGCACTGAATGGGATCAGTCAGCACCCATGTCATGAGCAGGATCACATCAGCCATCACCAGGGCTGCCACCAACCCCAGCAACTGCAGGTCTTTGATAATCTGCAAGAGTCAAGATTGAAATGTTCTCTGTCTGTTGGCTACCTGACACAGGGGCTAGAATGTCCTACATGCTCTGAGCAGTAAGCTCCAGGGACAGGCCTCTCAAGGAGCTTCAAATGCAGACATCAAACATGAAACAGGCATCAAACATTTGCAATGACTTTAGAATCGTTGTCATAATTGTTACATCAAACATTTCCATTTGTTTAACTTTTTCACACCCTATTTCTTCTGACAAAGAATTCAAAGGGTCTTATAAAATAAATACACTGTTGTTTCTAGATACATTTATATGAGCACAGAGAGATCTGGAGGTTTTTTATATTAAACTGTTAGTAACTATTAATTCAGGGTGGAATTGAGAGATGGTCGTGGGTACAGGAGGAATTACTAACATTTTCTTCATAAACATATGAATTATGTGACCTAATATGAAGAAAATGTTACTTTTGTGACCATAAAAATAAAATTAAGAAAAAATACACATGCATTCTAACAGGATAAAATATTGAAAAATATGAGGGAACAGAGAAGCCTGATGAAGGCCTAGGTGGGAAGCACAGGCAGCATCGGAGACCTAAGCTTATTATTATTATATTTTTTGTACCAGGGATTGAACCCTCTGAGCAACATCTCCACCCCTTTTTATTTTTGTATTTTGAGGCAGGTTCTTGCTAAGTTGCTGAGGGTCTTGCTGAGTTACTGAGGCTGGCTTTGAACTCATGATTCTCTTGCCTCAGTCTCCCAAGCCACTGAGTGGATCTAATCTTTTGATAGCCAATGGAAAGAAAGAGGCACAACCAGGTACATGATTTAAGGTGAGATAAAATAAATCAGTTGGCTAATCAAACTGCTCAAATCAGCCATAAATAGAAACTCTCCAAAGCAACCAGTGTGTGTGTAGGGATTGGGGGAGGCCATTATGTGTAGAGGAACAAAGAAAAGGAAGATATTAGACTCCTCATTAGATATATAAAGCCAAGTGAGCATATAGTGGAAGGGCATCTTCAAGATGAAAGAGAAAAAGAAAACCCTGGTCTAGAATCTGTACCCAGAAATACATTTTGCAGGAACTGGGGATGTAGCTCAATGGGAGAGAACTTGCCTAGCATGCACAAGGCCCTGGGTCCAACTCCCAGAACTGGGGGAAAAGTATAAGTGTGTGTGTGTGTGTGTGTGTGTGTGTGTGTATTTTTCAGAAAAAAAGGCAAAATAAAGACTTCTTTAGATATACAAAAACTGAAAGAATTCCAAACTAGTACACACACACTAGAAGGAAAGGAAAATGAAAATGATACCAGATGGTGGATCTACACAGGAAATTAAGACCACTGGAGTGATAACTATGTGGAAAAATATATGATTCATATTTATAATTTATATACCTCAAAAGATAATTGATTGTATAAACAAAAGTAACAATAATTGTATGGGCCTTATAATATTTATTAAAGTAAAAACAATGACACAAAGGTGGGGATGGGGAGTGAATGCATACTGTTGTAAGGTGCCTACACAACACATGAGTGCAAATTACATACATATGTACAAACTCTTACAGAAGCCAAAGAGGAGGGAATAGTTCCCAACTCATTCTATAAGGTCAGCATTTCCTTGATATCAAACCTAGAAAATGATACTACAAGAAAAGAAATCAATGGGCAATATCCACTAAAAGTACAAGTATACAAACTATAAACAATATTTTTACAAAAATGAATACAAATAAACAAAAAGGATAATACACATTAGAAAAAAATAAATTGTTTTCTCAATTTTTTTTTTTAAAAAGAGGATAATACATCACGACCAATTGAAGTTTCTCAGAGATGTAAGGTTGATTTAACATCCCAAATCATTTAGTATAACCCACCATCTGAAAAATCTAAAAAAGAAAAACCTTATGACAAAACCCAACATTAATTCTTGGTAAAAATTCTCAGAAAAATGAGAATAGAAAAGAATTTTTCAACTGGATAAACAGCATCTACAATGAAACATTCATGCTTAGTTTTGAAAAGCTGAATGCTTTCCCCATAAGAATAACTCAAGAATATCTGCCCTCACCACCTCTGTTCAAGAATGTACTGTTGTTTCTATCCAGTGCCAGCAGAGAAGAGATGTTTATTCACAGATAATTTAATCATCTATGTAGAAAATCTGATGGAATCCATAAAAAAGCTGCTACAAATAATATGTAGTTTAGTGAAGTTGCAGCAAAATATATTCTATTTGTATGCTATACTTTATAGCAAAATCCAATCTGAGGGCTGAGGCTATACCTCAGTGGCAGAGCGCTTGCCTAGCATTTGTGAGGCACTGGGTTTGATCCTCAGCACCACATAAAAATGAACAAATAAATAAAGGCATTTTGTCTATCTACAACTACAAAAAAATAAAAATAAAAATAAACAGTCTGAAAGTAAAATTTAAAAAACAACAACATGTATAATAGCATACGAATATGAATACTTAGGAATAAATCTGTTAAAATATATGAAAGATTTATTTTGAAAAGTACAAAAAAATTGCAGAGTTGAAATGAAAGAAAGCCTAAATAAATGGAGAAATATACTGCATTCATGGGTCAGAAGACCCAACACTGTTAAGCAATCAATTCTCTACAATTTGATCTATAGATTCAACATAAATCAAGAATCCAGTAGGATTTTTGTAGAGGTTGAAAAACTGATTAAAAAATTCATATGAAATTCAAAGAACCTAAAGTAACAAAAACAACATTGAAAGAGAAGAACACAGTTGGAGAGTAAACATTCCCTGCTTTTAAGATTTAATAGGAAGCCACAGAAATAAAGGTAGTTTGGTACTGTTGTCAAGATTAAAAAAAAAAAAAACCCACATACAACAATGAGACAAAAGAAAGAGTCTAGTAACAGATCGATACATCTCTGAGCAACTGATTTTTGAGAGAAATGCAAAGGTAAATCAGTGAAGAAAAACAGCCTTCTCAACAAATTGTATAGGAACAATAGTATATTCATGTGCAAAAAGGTGAACTTTGATTAATATATCACACCATATTACAAAATTTACTCAAAATGGATCATAGTTCTAGATGTAAAAACGAAAACGCTAAAATTTCTAGAAGTAAACACAGGAAAAAAAATCTTTTAGTCCCTTAAGTTAGGCAAACATTTCTTAATATAATACTGAAAACTGATCCATAAAGAACAAATAAGTAAATTGGAATTCATCAAAATTAGCAATGTCTTCTGTTTGAATGACAAATAAAATAAAGGGCACAAAGTATGAGAAAAATCTTTGCAAATCATAATTTTTCTTGCCTCAAAAAAAAAAAAAAAAAAACAACCCACAAAAAAACAAAACCTATTTTTGAAAAAGGAGTCAGTGTTCTGGAGGGATAGACGCATTTTCTGTCCTTTTGGGCAATCTTCTTCATCTGTGTGGTTACTCACAGCTGAGCTTTTGATAAATATTCATCATGATTTGATAATGTTTGAAAAAAAATCTCATTCCAGAGAAGTAGACTCCAGCTGAATTTTATATTAGGTCTGGAAAGAGCCTCTAGCCAAAGAGGCTGATGGTCAGGCTTTGAGGTCTGGTGCTTAGGGGAAAATTGCGGAAATTTGGTTAGGTTGATGCTGGACACCAGGGACACGTAGGTGATCTACTTTAACATAGTTCTGGGGTTGCTTCTATCGGCTGCATGGGTATCGTCTTGCTTGCTCACAGCTCTAGTCACATCTTTCTCAGTACAAAGAACTGCCTTCTTCATTGAAAAGAACTAGGATCCAGGGAGAGCAATAGTTCTGCTCATTTGCTATAGCTTCTCTCTAATCATATTTTCCCTCCACTTCTAACTCACACCTGTGCCAAGAAATAGTCTCTCTGGGCATCTTGTTCTCCCTCACACCTGTGCCTGGAATCTCCATAGGGCCTGGAATGGGTGTGCATGAAGCAGAGCCTGTGTTTAAAGATCTATCTCCCAATAGTATTAGCTCACAGCCTTCCAGACCTGGGGCTTTTTGAGACCACCTGACTCAAAGATTTTAAGTGAGGAACAAGAACTTCAAATCATCCTAAGAGGGGCGAGGTCCACAGACCCACACGTTTCTCTAGCTTTTAATCCACGTGGAGCTGCTGCCTGCAATCCAGTGTTGTGTATTTGCTGTCAACTCACCACTCTCTTGTCTGGGACTCTCTGGGTAAACACCTTGTAGAGTCGCCAGCTCTTCCCCAGAACAGGGCCAAACACAAGGGAGGTCCCAATGCACAGCAGAGACAGTCTTATCTATAGGTGGAAGGGGACAGAAGCAAGAGTCAGGACAGGAATCTTCATCGGTCTCCATGCATTCTGATCTACAAAGCTTCAGGTCCATAGAGGGCATCAAATAGAAGATGGACCTAAGTGGCTGAGTGTGACAGGGATCACCTGTGAAAGTGCCCATGCCAGGGATATGAGGAACCGCTACTCTCGGGAGCAGCTGATGGAAAACATTTATCCAAGCTTTAGCATTGTATTCAAAACAAAATTTCAAAATGTCACCTACCTGAATGAGAGTTTCCATTGAGCTCCCTGCAAAAACATCTTGAATCCCAAAGAGGTAAGCACTACTGTAAGTCAGACAACTGCCCAGTAAGGTCACAATGTTCAGATTGGGACTGGACATCTTCACAATCCTAGATGGAATTAGGAAGAAAGATGCTTTAAACTATGATTCTTTGCACTGGGGTCAAAGATCTCCAAGATCCAAGCTTCCTCTCCAGCATAATCTTCAATGCAGCCCCAGAGTGAAGGCTCCTGCTGGGAAGAAACCACTTCACTGCCCTGTGAAAACTTATGGCCTATTCAAATTTATTTTCAAAAAGAACTAAATTCTGGCACTTCTTGCAAAGAAGGCTGACTACCTACACTCAGGAGGCAGCAGACAGGAGTTAGGATGGTATCCATGAAGTTTAGGGTTGCTAAGGGATTGCTATATACAGCTGAGTGAATAAATAACTAGCAGGTAGATACCCAGAGAGACAGTTTGGAGCTTTTAGAAATGAGCTATAAGGTAAATTTCTCTCTGAAAAGAGGTTTGGAATTTTTTGCATACACTCTGTACTTTAATTGACATGTAAATTTTTCTTTTTCTACCTGAGGAAGAAAGAAGAAGCAGGGATGAAAAAGGAAGGAAATTAGGGCAGGATCTTTTGTCCAAGTAGTTTTAAATGAGGGTATAGAGCAGTTAGATGATTAGAGTGAGATGTGGACAATCAGGGTCTCAGTCTCTGAGCACCAGCAGAGATTCAGGCTGGGAAACCAGGCTTCCTGAATAGTGACTGAAAACAAATACAATTAACAAGTAACAAGAAGGAATGTAATTTTTTAAAGCATTTTAGTCTAAATAGTGTATTCTATATAAATGCAATATTACAACTAAGAATCATTTGATAATCACTGGATATATATACATATATATATGTATGTGTGTATGTGTGTGTGTGTGTGTGTGTGTGTGTGTGTATATATATATATATATAATTTTTTATGTGTGGTACTGGGGATTGAACCCAGGACTTTGCACATGCTAGGCAGGTACTAAGCTATATCCCCAGCTCTTTATATTTTGTTTTGAGATAGTATCTTGCTAAATTACCATGGCTTCCCTTAAACTTGTGATCCTTCTGTCTCAGCCTCTTGATTAGCAGGAATTGTAGGCATGTGCCACCACACCCCACTTTATACTTGTATTTTATATAATAACTGGGGAGGAAGGCATTCTTCTCTGTCTCCAAGTTACCTGATTGAATGGCTTAAAGGCCAGGACAAGGTTAAACTATCCACTTAAGGTAGCCTATTTTATATTCTGTTTTATAATCATTTACATATTTTAATTGTACAAATTAATGGGGTTGACAGTGACATTTCTATATATGAAAACATCATGCCTTAATCATATCTAACCTCCCTATTACCCTCCTTTGTCCCCCACCCCCTTCCTCTTTTCCTTCCTTAATAGACTTTCTTCTACTTTCAGGTTTTTGTTTTGTTTTGTTTTTTAAGTTTCCACATATGAGAGAAAACAGGTGACACTTGTCTTTTTGTGTCTGGCTTAGTTTTTTTGTTTTAACATGATGATTCCCCAGTTCCATCCAGCAATCAAATAATGACATAATTTCATTCTTCTTTATCAATGAATAATTTTCTACTACACACACACACACACACACACACACACACACACCATATTTACTTTATTCATTCATGCATTGATGGGAACCTAAGCTGATTTCATAATTTGGCTACTGCGAATAGTGCTTCAGCAATAAACGTGGGCATGCAGGTATCACTATAGTATGCTGACTTCATTTCCTTTGGGGGTACACCCAGGAGTGGGAAAGCTGGATCATATGGTAGTGTGCTATTGTTAGTTTTCTTCTTCTTCTTCTTCCTTCTTCCTTCTTCCTCCTCCTCCTCCTCCTCCTCCTCCTTCTTCTTCTTTTTCCTTTTCTTTTCTTTCTCTCTCTTTCTTTCTCTCTCTCTTTCTTTCTTTTTCCTTTTTTTTTTTTTGAGAAACTCCATACTGTTTTCTACAGTGGCTATACTAATTTACATTCCCTTTACATTCCCACCAATAGTGTGTAAGAATTCCCTTTTTTTTCCCCCACATCCTCACCAACATTTGTTAATTTTTTTTCCATAACAGCCATTCAGTGCGACCTATTTTGATGACAGTATTTAGGAGGCATTCAACAAGCAGTCTGGTATGTTGCATTTGCCAGTGTCATAATCACCATGTGCCACATGGCTGGCATCTTAATATATCCCCATACACCAGAACACCGTACCATCACCCTGAAATTCAGCCTGGTCACCACAGGCCAATATACATTTGAGCTTAACTTTGTCTTATAGTTCAAAAAAATGTTGATTTTTTTCTCTCTCTAAAAATGAGAACAACTTTCATGTGTTCCCTTGTAAAATAGGGTAATAATAATTATAATACTTTCTGTCTGAGAGTTTTGAGGCACTACTGCAAAGTGCTTGGCACAGAGCTTGGCACACAGTAGGCATGTCACCAACATTAGGGACCAGTATTATAATCTCACCATTGTCCATGTTTCAGTAACCTAGGAATCATCTTTTTCTTCTTCTGTTATCACCTTTGCTCAATCACCAAGTTCTCTTCTTTCTTATGTCACTCTTTCTTCTCATCTCCATTCCTGTTATCACATTTATCCAAGACACAGTCATGTGAGAGACAGGAGATAAAGTCAGGTGTGACAGGTGGGGATGATGGCTCTAGGCCTCTGTTTCCTCTTCCATGAAATGAAGATAACATCATCTTTCATACCCCCCAGGTCATTGTGGGGCCCAAAAGAAGTATGAGCCAAAACTTAATTCTAAGGTGATATAAAAATATTAAGTTTTAGATTTTTGGTGTAACTTTTCACTTTCTGCAACAGCATTTTTTTTCCTGTTATAGCACATCCTGTACCTTACTTTCAGACTTATTTTCCTAAAATACCACCTTTATCACTTAGCAAGAATGACATGTAATTGGGGATTAGCTCAATGGTACATCATTCTCCTAGTATGGATGAGGCCCTGGGTTTGACCCCTAATACTGTGCCCCCCCAAAGTGTGATATCTAAAAGAATTTTTTTTTCTTTCTTCTGTCATTTACCTTAAGTTTCCTCTATCCAAATTTAAGACCTAGCCTATCCTACCTAGACACATTCTCAGGTCTGCCTCCTCTGCCTCCATGTTTTCTAATTGTGGACTTACTGTAGAGTGATCTTCCCTAGTTTCTTTGTCTCTCTAAGACAGAAGGGGGAAGATGTGGTAAATGTTAGCTACATAAATAGGAATGATGCTAACCAGCACTTTCACAAAGCATTCTTTAAGAAAAGTACTACTTTAGAAAGACTGACGTTGCCACTGACTTAGAGCAGAGGTCACTGATGCCATGGGGTTGGCCACTTGGAAGCCTGAGCAGTGATTTTAACCAGTGGGGAATTTGTGCAAGACCAATAATCAAGACCATGTCCCCCTGTCCCCTGTACCCCCTAGTTGCTCAAATGCTCCTGCACATAAGCCATGGATATCTGATGGTGACTTCCTTACCAAGCACCTGCCTGGATCTCACAGCCACACATCTGTTGTGTCTAGATCACTAATAGATAGGTTTCTCACTTTATTCTTCTCTGCCTCCAGTTTATCTGAATACCATAATCCTGTCTCCTTTGAGAGATTCAGTCCTGCATGGAATCTTGATTTAGAATTCTTCCCTTTTCTGATCTAGTTAAGAGGAACTCCTTAGTTTTGATGAAATAGATATTACATAGTATTCATATCTCAGACACTGGTGCAAATTCATTGTTCAAATGTCATGGTATAGACTTACATATATATTCTTTCATACTTTTTTTCTCCGGAAATTTTACTAAAAACTTGCCTCAGAAAAGGAAAAAGTGAATAGAAGATGATTTTCCTATTTTGTTTGGCCTAGTGAACACCTGTGAAGCTACTTAAAGGTAAATCATCTCTAATTTAGCAGGATAATTATGTCTGGGGAATGACTTTGCTATACTGATAGGAATTCAATCATCAATGTCATTTATATTTTTCTATTGAACTATTCAGCCTACATAGCTGAATAGTTTAATTCAGTCACAAACACACAATTTCCACAAAGTCATAAGATGTAAATAGTATATACTTAATTATAAATAGTGCCATCTACATTACTGTGTACCATTGATGAAGAGTTAAAAGCCTGAACTGGGTGACTGGCAGTCTGAAAAAAGGTGGTGGTATTAAAAAAAAAGATGTTATAGCTATCTCATTATCTTTTTCTTTTCATTCATTGTCTCAAGTGTAAGGCAAGAGCTTTCTTGATTTTTCTACTCTTAAGTAAGATTTCAGTATATGTAGAGAAATACTTAATAGATGTCTATAGAAAAATATCTATGTCTGCAGAACTTTTATAATCCTGAAGTATCATTTCAATAATCTTTAATGAATTCTGATGCTTAATTGGGATCCACCAGCTCATGGTATGATGTTTAAAAAAATCTTTATCAAATATTGGTTTCAGAATTTGAAGACATTATATAGGGAGTTATTGGGTTTAGAAACATGGCCTAAGATTGGGGCAGAAGGTAGTTCTTAACGTGCTGTGACTATTAGAAAATTTTCCTAAGATGTCATAGGCTGTGCTTTCTAAAATGCTACATGAATTGATGTAAGTAGTGTCACTGAGCTTTAACATATCCAAAACCAAATATGAATGTCTTTCCAAAAGGCTTTTTAGTGAAATAATTAAGATTTAAATTATAATTCTTTTTCAACCCCCTGTTTTTGATCTGTGCTACAATGGGATGCTAAATTCATCTCATATAGAACTCCAAACACTCTTATCATATCTGATGTGTTATCTGATGTGATCCCGAAAATCTGATCTTTTTGCTGTTGTGCCTATTTCTAATGTCTGATTAATTGTGATACTAATTCAGATTCTTTGCACCTCAAACTAATATTACTGTGACCTCTAGCCATTTATATTTAAACTCTGTATCATAAGAGCTGGCCTGCTCCCTTCTCTCCTGCCTGGGCTACCATCTTAGGAGGCCATCCCAGGAGATTTCATTAACCTTTCAACCTTCAGATTTGTAAATTCTCTATTATAATG